GGAGGAGGAGGAAGGGGAGGAGGAGGAGGAGGAGGAGGAGAGGGGGAGGGCGATGGCGAGGGCGAGAGCGAAGGAGAGGGAGAGGGAGAGGGAGAGGGAGAGGGAGAAGGGGAAGGAGAAGGAGAAAAATACTGTCAATACAATCTATTGTAAACTCGGCAATTAGTAAGCTTTCAGAAAGGTTAAACCATCCTCAGTGTAGTAAGAGAAGCCAAGGCGTGAGGAAGCCCTGGTATAACCCTCCATGAATGTAAAACCTTTTTACACCAACTCTATGAGAAGACGTCTAAGCTGCTCAACTCGTGAATTAATGGTCACGTCGATCATTTCTCAGGGTGAAAGTAAGGGTGAAAAAAGGGCTCTTTGTCTCTAATGTATTTATTTCATTGGTAGCCTTTTGGGGACTGTAAAGTGAATGTTAAACTCCCTGTAACCCCCAGACGAAAACACTTTAAATAAATACAATATTATTTTAGTGTTGGTGTGGTGAGTATGTTGTTTTTGTTTGTCGATTTTAATGCTTCGACCACAACTATGATGTTGTGAGTTTTGAAGTCGCCCAGCACCATGAAGCTTCAATAACTTATCAAAAATGGTTTTTAAAAAATGTTAGACAAAAAATGTTTGACAGAAATTTGAAACTTCACCGATAAACAAAGTTATTTAAAATACAGTGACGAGAAAGCACGTTAGAACTTTTCTGAAGAGCTTATTGAATTTATTCTTTTTGGAAAAATTAAAAACTTCCCATCTCCTTTACATGTAATGCAGATCATGGGAGATACACGAGAGAAGGGGGTTAAAATGTTAAAGGCGAAAGAAAGGCTGTGATGGACAGAAAACTATTCTCTCGTGGGAAAAAGAAATAAAATAATGAAGACAGGAGAGAGAAATAATTGTCAGATTGTAAGAACAAAACAATAATGAAAATAATGTTAAAAGCCTAAAAAAAATATAAAAACACTGATAGTTCTCTGAGCAAACAGGGAATCTGAAACGAATTCCCTTGCGAAATGTGCTATTCGTTTCAATGGATGCTCATAAAACCTCGAATATTTTTCAAGGTGTTATAGTTTCGTTTCCTAGTACTTTTTGTCCAAGATAATTCATATTAACTTTTAGACGAGTAATTCAATTCTTCCTTTAGGCATCGCGAACTTGCTGAACAGGGCATCCAGAAACAGGAAAGGCGACACCACCAGCGTTCGGGAGCAGGAATTAATTATCTCCCTTAGGCAATATTGCTTTCAGAATCTTTTGGGGGCACTTGGTGTGGGAGTGACCTGCCCTTGATTTCTGAAATGCGGGCTCTCGTTGTTTTGAATAAAGCGGATTGCCGTTACCAAATTATTTTGTCTTCACTTATGTGATAAATTCCCTCTACCTGCGCCCTTTTCTGCAGTTAATATTTAATGCTTAGTTACCAAAGATGTTAAGAATCCTATTGACAAAATAAACATTAATTATAGCGCGAACAAAAATTGGAGGCACCACTTATTCTCAAACGTCTCCTTAACGGGTGAATCAGTGACACCCATAGTTTGAACAGGTATCAGTTTGTCTTAACTTAATCCAATTTTCCACAACAATTGAGGCTTAATTAATAAAAAAAAAAATTATGTATATATATATATATATATATAATATACTTTACTTTTACTTTACTTTACTTTTCCGATCCAGCGGCCATTTGGGTTTTAGCCCTTCGGTCTGTTGATATGGCAAAGAATATATATAATATACAAAATGCTGCAAATCATTTTAGTCCACTCTACCGAGCAGTGTATTCGGGAATTAAAAATATGGATGACCAGTAATAAATTGAAACTGAATGAGGACAAGACGGAAATAATGTTGAGTAGAAATACAAAAGTCATTAGAAATCTCCCAGAAACACAAACTAACATTAATAATCATACCACTAGTTCTACAGATCTAGGGGTTCAGTTGGATTATGATATTATGTCTATGTTCTCCCAAATTTTATCAGCTCAGCAAAAGTATCTATTTTCAGCTGACAAAAATCGACAGGGTACGAAATTCTTTAACTTAATCCGCAGCCAAGACATTAGTAACAAAACTGATTTACCAAACTTAGATTACTGTAATTCTGTTTTATCCGGTTTAACGGCCGAAAAACTATCAAATTTACAAATACTCCAAAACCAAGCAGCAAAATTGATAATAATAAAATTAAAAAATCTGCGCACATAACACCAATTCTGAAAGAACTACACTGGCTGCTAGTAAAAGAAAGGATCAAAAACAAAACTGCCGTTTTCTGTTTTAATAAATGTATAAATGATACTGCATCTATTTATCTAAAAGAATTCCTGGAATTACAATCATCCACCCAGATCCCTTAGATCAGCCACTGACAATCTAATTCTTAGAACCGCAAAACAAAATGACAAAACATGGCGAGCGTTCCTTTCTATTATTTGGTCCCCATGTATGGAACGAACTCCTATACAAAATTAGGAGTGCCCCTACTATTTGCATTTTCCAAAAAGAGCTGAAGCATTTGTAATTCACAAATGCGTAAACTCTACCTGTCAAAACGATAAATTGTTATACATGCATGTGTATGCCCGACCGTGAGACTGTAAAAATGGCTTGTGAGAAGGAGAGCGAGGGAGTGAGGGGGGCAGACAGAACGGAAATGATTTCTATTGTAAGAGAGTAAATGTTTTTATTGAATGTTTCTAGCTTTTCAAGTTTCCATTGTGACCTTTCGTGAGTTTTCATCACATTCTATATTTCTAGCGAACATGTGAAATATAAGCAAATTTACATAAATTTCTCCGTGCACTACATTCGCCTTCTCTGTCCCTCTGTAAGCAAGGTATAGACTTGAATCATTATATTCCGAGACCGTGTAAAGTTATGGCAGCTGCTCTTTGCTCTTATACAAAACTTCGCTGCGAACGCACTCACTTTGGGCACCTAAATAAGAAGTGCCAAACAGTACCGGTTTCCCAGTTTCGCAATCCACTATGGTTGATAGTACGTGCAAATCTTTCTACGTTGCCCTTAATTTTAATTCAAATTGAGTCAAATGATGGGCACCATCGCCATCACGACCGAGGTTACTCCAGAGTGGGGTGCTGTTACATTCTGTGCATTAAGAAACATAAAACCATCATCTGTTCTAATGTGTCATCGCATGTGACTTGTCAGGTCCAGCTAAACTGCTGTCTTTCAACTTAATAAGCACAACTGACGTTTGGGATTTGCTTTTTCCATCCATGTTAAACAACCAACCATAGAAATAGAATTAAAGAAGCTTAAACTTTAAAACAATATGTCGTGGAAAATATGATATTAAACATTATACAAGTATAACACTCTTAGTTAATTACTTTTCTGGAAATAATAAAACTGTTGCTTCCCTTTTTATTCTGTTATTCTTACCTCCCCAGGCAAAAATCAAGAATACCTTAAATCGAATAGATCTATGGAAATTCTGCAATCCCTAGCCTTATAGACAAAAACTAACTTCATTTAATTTGGAATCAGCACATTATCAATTTCGAAATAAATCGACAACCTTCATTGCTAAAAAGCTTCTTTTTTTTTTCTTCGCTGACCGATGTAATGCAATGCGCTAGCGAAAACACCTTTGCCCTTGCATTGTTTTGGTTACGAAGTTTAAAATCAAAGTCAAAATCATCTGTATTTTAACGACAACATGCCATGCATTTACTTTCAAGTTTTATATCGTACGTTTTCTGCTCTCTTTGCTTATATATGCGTTATTATTGTTTTGTTGGGGGGGGGGGGGTCGTAGATGGAGAAATACGGAAGGCACATGTAAATTAGCGTGGCTAAAAGTACAGAAAAACAATTGAGATTTTTTCACATCCTCACTCTGTCTCAGACGGGCATGAAAATGTTTTCATGTTAGACTCTAGAATTGATCTTCGTGTCCAATTGGATGGTCATTCAAACTTTGTTGTTGGTATGGGTGTATTTCGCCAGCTGATATCAGTAGGGTAAAAAACATTGAAATTGCCAGTTGTAATTACGAGTTGAAAGTCGTGATTATCACTTAGCAGTTTCACTTGTAGAATAAGTCATGATCGACCACCACAACTCATGTCATAAATTATTTATAACCACGGAAACGCGAAAGTAAGCAACAAATTCCACGAATGTCTTAAATTAAAACAGTTTTATTGAATAACAAGCTCTTTTCTTATTACTCTTAGTCAAGGACATTGAAAAGTAGTTCATTGCTACATACGAATGCTGTTGTTATTTTCCAGGTAATAATGTTCAATAATTAGATTCACTCTGTTTATATCTGTGGGTTTCTTTACATAATATAATTGATATGGTTTCTTATTTGTGCTACACAAAAGCCGCATAATATACATGTAGTTCATTTCCTGTATGTCTGTGATGTAATAACACGGCTAACAATGCGTGCAGAAATCGTTAGTTCCACGACCTAATGGGGGAGAAGTTTCCCCATTTTCCCGATGGGATAAGTTGAATACAGACTGGGTTGTCCGTAACTGGCAGAGTCGAGGCTGGGGCTGTCTAACTCTATAGTGACGTCGGTTGTTTTGATTGTTTTAAAAATATAAATCGTGTATCAATCATCAACAAAGATTGAAACCTAAATAAACCTTGAACCTAGTCAGTACCAAGCTGCGTTTAAACAGCAAAAGGCGAGGTTGTGTTGTAAAACAACACATGCGCAAAAAGATACACTGTGTGCAACACCGAGAGTGTAACGACCGACATGTCAAATTACTAATACATTCCCATTACAAAAAAATAAAACTGTTTCCAGCTTCAGAAATTACAAATAGGTTTGGCTATATGTTATTCTGCTCAGATTAAAGCTGCTTGTAAAATTCCAGACCAAGGTTTCAGTTGAAAATGATTTGTTGGCTATTACTACTAGGCTAGATAATAAATGTATCCCTAACACCGAGAGTGTAACGACAGACATAACTATGTATTGAAAAATAAATTGGATAACAAAAAACAAATAAGACTGTTTCCAGCTTTTTCAGATGACACTGACTTTGCTAGAGACCAGGCAAAGTTACTTGTAAAATTGCTGACAAAGGATGTTAAACAAAAATTAATGGTTTGTTATAACAAGAAGTCATCAATAGAAGAAAATGATTGATTGGTTAATACAAGTATAATAAGCCATACTCACTACGTAAAAGATTAAATCCACCACCGAGAGGATAATGTCCGACATAACTTTTTTCAAGAAATTTGTATCTAAAAATAAAATAAAACTGTTTCTTGTTCTTCTGATGACAAATAGGCTGTACCTGTATCTAGTCAGTACAGAGTGGCTAGTAAAATTGCTGACGCAGTTTGTAAAACTAAATTATAAGCTTATTGTTACAATTAGACATATAAAAGATAAGTATTACATTTTTAACAATGAGGGTACATGGCTCGACATAACAAATTTTTGAAGATAGTTGGATCACAAAAAAGGACTGTTTCCAGTTAGGGTTTTTTTTTCTGATTGCAAATAATCTTTGCTATAGTCTAGTTAGTATTAGATTACTTGTGAAAATTGAAGACTAACGTTGAAAAAGCAAAATCATGTGCGGTCTGTAACAACTAGGTCTAAAAGATACATTGTGTCTAGTGCCGAGAGTGTAACGACCAACATTAGAACATGCTAAATTAATTTCGATGACAAAAATTCTAACATGTTTCCATTTTCTCTGATCACAATTTGCTTGTAAATTAGCAGAACGAAGTTTTAAAAGAAACATTTTTGTTAGTTTTTACTAATAGACATACCGTAGACAAAAGTAATAAGATTATGTATAACACTAAGAGTGTAACGACTGACATAGATAACAAAACTAATGAGACTCTTTCCAGCTTTTCCAGCTTAAAAATAGTCTTTGCTGGGGTCTATCTTGTCAGTACAAAGCTGCTTGTAAAGTGGCAGAGTTGTAAAACATACAAAATTAAAAAGACTAAATCCAACAACGAGAGTGTAACTACCGTCATCACGACTTACTAAAGGAATCTGAATTACGAAAAATAAGACTGTTTCTAGATTTTCCGATTACGGCTAGTTGTTTTCATTTGACTTTTAGGGATTGTAAAGCTATGAAATGCGGAAAATCCACAGGGCGAAGTTAGGGGTGGGAGTGGCTGTTGAGAGGAGTGCTTGGTTCAGTACAAGAGTCAATTATCGCATAAAACGAAAAGTCTGCTTATCAATCAAATATGAACACACTATTAAAATTATTATTGGCCTTTCTAACAGGAGAGTAATAACTAACCAAACAAGAATTGCCATTACTTGAAACTATATATATATACATTTATAATTGAGACATACACATTCAGGTTTTATTTTCTTTGTTCGTTTGTTTGTTCTGTTTTGTTCTCCTTTCATGTTTTTTTTTTCTTTTCTTTGAGAGACGAAATTTTGAGTAAACGTTGGGACAGGTCAAATGGATAGCCCTTTTCGAATAGGTCTTCATGTAATTTCTCTCTCTCTCTCTCTCTCTCACTCTCTCTCTCTCTCTCT